ACTACTTTTAATTGATGTAGCAAAACCTTGAGATTTTCACTTGAGGATTTGAAAGTGACATCTGGAGGTAAAAATTGAAAATATTCAGAACATCGCGTAGACTCGTATTAGCTTATATCAAAACACAAATGAGTATAATAACGTACTATAACAGAAATTGTCTGATTTTGAATCGAAAATAGTCGAACTCGAAATCAGATCAGGAAAAGATCAAATTTAACATAATCAGCCTCTGCATGCGACTAAAAACTTCTTGTATACGGCTTGAATATCCAATAAAAATTGTAATGATAGATGTTTTGATTTATAACAAGTAGTTACAAACTATTAACACGTTATTGACACGAGTAATAATATAGCTATATATCTACACTTCAAATGTAAAAGTATAAAATCTGTTACAAAATGTAAAATCTGCTCAAAATTCACTTTTAAAAGGCGATATTCAAGTAGGTTTTACTTTTAGAAGAACTGTGAAGACTCAAAATTAAATTCTGTGCAAATTCAACATTTCAAGAGTAAATCTTATTGAAAAATATTTTTTTTATGATTTTAAAGCTAAAAAAGATACTTTATTGGATAAAATCAGCAATCAATCAATTTTTACACTTCAACATAAAATATCAAATTTCGATCATTTCCGCTTACTGTGCAACAAACTAATAATGACATTCGAAAACGTCCAGTCGCAACCCTGAAAAGTAGCCTGCATAATAACAGTACTCGCAACTTTTTTAAAAAGAATAATTAAGAGAAGATATATGCACTGTCTAACCACTCGTGCGCGCACCATCGCACCAGCAAAGTGTACGTACGGTTTCATTTATTAAAAAGTAGACGAGGATCGTGAGCTCCATGATCTCTTCGCGCGAGACTAATACAAAAAAAAGTTCATTACATTAAAAGCGTCGCGTCGTCCGTCACGGCAAAGGCCGGGCCATGATCCAGAGACAGAGAAAAGGGATGAAAATGTTTCACGCGCGCGCGCCAGAGCACGCGTAATATATACGCGCGAGGTCACCGAAAGCGAAAACTCGGTCTCGTTATAAACGACGAGTGTGTATTATATATCTGCCGCTACTGCTGCTGCTGCTGATATGCAAAAACTTTCTCTTTCGTGAAAACGCGCGCTTGGAAGCAACAGCTTACGAGGAATAAAAAAAATGAAATAAAATAAAAAAAAGAAGTATACGCGACGCCGTTATAGCACACTATGAGTTTGACGAGACTTATATTACACGCCCCATTGACGCGCGTCGCGACTGTATAATGGAAGAGAGAGAGAGAGAGCTTTTTTTTTTTAAATAATGCACGAGCATTTGAAATCGTAATGGTCGCGATGGACTACTTCTATCGCTGATGCTTTCGAATTGCCACTGGCTGCAGAGATAATCGAGAACTTGATTGAACTTTTATGGGGCAAAAGTGCATCGTGCAGTAGCAATACACGTGTACAATATACCACGAGATTTTCGAATTGGGCGCGGTGTATAATTTACGCGAGAGAGCTTGCAAAGTTCTCGCGTTTCATCGTCGCTTACATACACACACAGACAGACAGACGGACAGACAGACGGACGCGTAAAGCGATACAGGATACTTTCGCCTTTGGGCCAAAGGGTGAACGAACAGTATACAATAACGCGGCGCGAGTATAGGATTCGTTCGGTCGGTCGATGGTGCACGCGCGTGTACATACGTACCCGCGAATTTCGTCGTTCTCCATCTACGTGCTATACGGGAATTACAGCGCTCGTATGTGCGATGATCGATCGTCGTTCGACGTTGTTATATATCCTACATAATAGGAACGCGGCTGAACACGTGCCGTGTTGCTCGCAATTGCGAGTAGTAATGCAAAGGCAGCAGCACGTGCTAATTATTGTTTTTAAATGCTTTTGTGCTTTGTGTCAACGTGTGTGCACGGAAAGCAGCGCGCGAACAACGCCTGGCAAGTACGGCGATGAGCGTTTAAACAAAACAGAAAAAGTCGCTGCACCGCTCCGACTTCGTCGATAAGCGTGCGTATTATAATAACAACAATAATAGGTATACGCGTGTTACAGAGAAGTCAACGGTTTTTGGAGCGTTTGGGTGATAAGCGCGCTTCGACACACGCGCGCAGCTCGCAACTCGAATGCGAGCCCGCATTGAAGAAGGAGAGAGAGATAGAGAGAAAGCGAGAGTTTCGCCAAGTATATGAGTTGCAGTCGTACAGCAAAAGTTTATATAATTTATTTGTGAATACGAATTGAATTAATTTACGATCCTGTACTGATCTATTCTTTTATTTCATTACTATACTGAGTCCTTAAATGTAAATGTTTTGATACTTTGATCGCGCGTTTACATTTTAATCGACTAAGCCATCTAGCGGTTGCAATTGAATCGGTAGTCTGCGAGACCTCGTCTCTTTCACAGACCCACATCAATCTTTACGACACAAATCGAGACGAACTTTTTTCGCTCAAATGAGGCTGTACGTCATGTTGTGATTGTGGCACGTATAAATTCCACTCGCGGTATAAAATCGACACGACTACAATACAATTCAAAGATGAGGATTCTAGAGCCCGGAATCAAATACCATACGTAATCTAAAAATGACTCAAAATGTCCTGAGCTATCAGAGAAATTTCGGGGAGCGATCGATGAGAAGACAAAAAGAATTAAAAAAGTAAAATTAGCACAAAGGACGCTAATAATAGCCGCGCGTGCATCGAATCGAGCTTCAAATTGTGTAATCAACGACCTTGGACCGGTACTGCCGAATGCGCGAACTATCCCCCCCCCTGCATCCATCACTATATACGCCAAATGGTCAGTCCGCTGTATCAATCTCATGCTCCGTCGGCGATAAAAGCTGAGCGTGTGTGTATACATTTCGGGATGTCCGGGCACAATTGCGAGCGGCTAGGTTCTCGTTACACATGCTGTAGCATATACCTAATTATCGATTTTTCGTAAGCGAGCCGAGGCGCCCGTAATCGAAAAAGCCGAAAAATTTTTTTTAAATTCGGCTTGGTAGCAGGAAACGATGTTTAGATTCGCAACGGTTCTCTTCCTCGTATTTCCGTCGCAATATAAAAGACACGAATTTCGACAAACACGAGACAGTGTTACGAGATAAAATAAAAAGCTCTGTCTGTCTCGCGTATACAGCAAATCTGTCGAAAAGAATACTACGTACCATCTACATGAAAAATCGAATGAATCTCGGCAAAAAAAAAGGAGGCAAGGAGGAAGAAACGTCACGCGTCGCTTGCCACCTCGTACGTCTTTTCGTATAATAAAATACCTACATATGGGTACAGAGTGAGAGAGAGGAATGCTCCGTTGCGAGGATCGCACGAGGGCTCTCGTTTCCGATAAAAGTTATTGCAATACGCGCGGTGTACAACGCGCGACAATCCATATAAAAGCAATACCATGGACGAGATATATAAATCGATCCTCCCCCATCGCTATCTTAATACACGTACACGTAGGCTCCGATATCTGGCCGCATGAATTGGCCTACATATATACAAAAGCTCGAGATCGCTATACGGCGCGCGCCTATCCGAGCGAAAAGTTTTTAGCCCTATCTCTCTCTCTCTGACCCCATACACAGCAGTAACACAGTGACACGGATATTAAGCTCATCTCTCTCTCGGTGGTGTATTGCGTGTGTATACAGTAGGCCATGGCGGAAGGGGAGAAGGAATGTGCGTTGTGTGTGTGGTATATAGGCAGCCGCAGCAGTCCTCCCCCGCGCGTTTATCGCATGCCTAGTATATTACTACTACTGCCTATTGCTGCTGCTGCTGCTGCTTAACAATGCGAACAGGATTCTGATACGTATGTGTATGTGTGTGTGTGTGTGTGAGATACTAGATACGAGTGGAGTGCCACGTACCATCCATAGATATAACGAACCCAACGTACGTGTACGTGCTTATGGAGTGCCTTTACCGCGGAGACGTAGTAGCCCGAGTCCTCCACATAGATATGTGTACGAGTGTGTGTATGTGTGTGAGTGAGTAGTGACGACGACGACTATATAGACGACGGTGGAGTGCAACGCAGAGAGAGAGAGAGGCGAGAGCAAAGAGGGGTGCGGGCAGGCGCGCGCCAGCAAACCAACCAGCCAGCAGCCAGTCAGCAGCAGTAGAAGCAGCAGCGGCAGCGGCGGCGGCGGCGGCGGCGTCGAGTGAATCGATATCGGCTCTAGGTGGGCACCCTGCACCTCTGCTACTGCTGCTGCTGCTTCTGCTATATCACATATATACCTACTGGCCGTAGTACTGCACTGTATATGCGTGCGTATACACCTTAAAGTTTGTTGCAGCGATTCTTATAATATACAGTAGGTATGCGCGCACACTCGCACACCTTATTATTCATCATGTACGTAGCTTTGACTGCACACAGCTCCAACTGCGACATTACAGTCGACTAACGTGTGCGTGTGATGCGCGATGATAAGGCCCTCGTGTGGTTTGAAGCAAGTGTTTAGGAGTAAGAAGTTAAACGCGAGTCTGCACGAAAACGAATGCTGCCACATGCAGCAACTGTCACGGCGACAGTACTTCGAGTCCCTGTCCCTGCACGAGCATATATTATATATACGTCAAAGCATCGTGTCAATGTTAAAATATATAGAGAGCATTTATAACATACACACGATATCCAATTACGAGCGTCCGCGACATTGTCTCGCGTTCGGGGTCGCTCGTGTTCTTTACGTTTTTTTTCTATCTTTTTTTTGCAGTCGCGATAAAAAGACTTGATTCTTTCTCAATATCTATCCCTTCGTGCACAATAAGTCACACACACACACACACGTTAACGAGCCGGACACAGTATGTAATAATAGCGCGCGAACGTGTTGGTGCGCTTATACTATCCTGCACCGCTGCGGGAATCCGACGTTTGTCGCAATCGTGTGCGCGAGAAAGGGCGCAGTTTTTTGCCGAACGCGTTATATATACAATACAACACAACAGAGCGACACTTACCGACAAGGAAAAAGAAGTCGAGTCGCGAGGCGCTTCGGATGTGTCGTCCTCGCTATCTCCAATACAATAATCGGTTCAAGCGCGAATCGCACCTGCAGCAACAGCAGCAGTAGTACAAGCGGCCGATGACATTTCTCCTGTCTCTCTCTCTCTCTCTCTCTGCACGCGAACTATGGCATTGCGCGCACTAAAATTGTGACGATATCCGCGAGCTTAGTCGAGGCACGATATATTTATTAGAACTGCCTGCGTATTTTTTACAATATAATACAATATCGTTTAACGTGTACGTCGTATGCAGGACAGTTGTTGCGTCGCGGGTCGCGCGCGCCGGAGCGAGCAGCTATCTCGGGCAGCTTTCAGCAGCGAACTGGGAAGCGGTGGCGGCGACGGCTACGACGACGACGGTGGTGGTAGTAGTGGTAGTAGTAGTCTGTAGTAGTAGTAGAAGTCGTGGCGCAGCGAAGCTCTCCTGCGGCAGCGCAAAAACTGCCGTACTCATACTCGCTATAGTAGTAGAGATACGTAGTGCCAGTAGTAGTAGTAAGAGTTTCGCATAGTGATAGAATAGTCGATGACGGCGCGTGCGCCCTTTACACCTTGACCATTGTTGCTGTATATATGTATATAGAGCTAAAAGCAACGTTTTGCACACTGATATTAGAATCGTATCAGACAGTTCGTTCGCGCGGAGCTGCTAGCGCCCCCTCTCATAGTTATTGAGAAATTATATATTATTTTTCAATCAAATGTGACACTAAAGACATTCAATACTTCCTCCATCCTTTTACAATTAAAAAGTTTTAAAAAAGTTGATACGAAAATTTTGACACATCCAATTGGAATTGGATTTTCTCTTATTATTTATGAAAAGTATAGACCAAAAAAGTGCCGTTACTCATGAGCAGTCTTCTTTGAAATTTCAATTTTTTTATTTTTAACGCGTAAGAAAAGGAAAGTTTTTGATTTTACTATATTTGCACCTAGGGAGTAAAACGTGAGTTTCTCTTTTCGTTACATAGGTACAAATACAGTTTTGTTTGTGCCCAGTTTAAAGTAATATTTTCATTCTGCCTCGGTGAGAGCAGAATATTACTAAGGGTCGCACAAAAAATCGATTTCCAACTTCACGATATTACTTAAAAGTCTTAGCTTGAAATGGATCGATAAAAAAGTTATATGCCTAAAAATGTCAAATAAAGAATCTGAAAATTTTTTCAAAGGTGTCCGAAAAAAACGACGAGCTATATATGAACTTGTTAGATAGAGCAGTCAGGAGATATTACTTATGATTCGAATAATATACCTCATATACTATTTTGAATTCCACATTTATTATCGAAATAAAGTCAGGAACGATCATGAAAATCTTCACATGCGATCTGGGGTTGATTAGACAAAGTGCCGCCCCCACGCAAACTCACATTTGCCGCTCAAGAAATTCAAAAACAATTATTGGAGCTTTCACTAATTTTCAAGAAATTTGAAAAACATTTTTTGGTTTAAATTAAATTATTAACGGTTTCTTCAGATTAAACATGTTATTACCAATCACGTCTCAGGAAGCTCAAATAGTTAGCGGATGTTTAATTGCATGTCATTTCGTAAGGTTTATATCAAAAGTTCAGAAACCAACTAAATACTCGTCCTGTTTACAGTTTCAAACAAGGCGTGAATAAAACTCTGAGCTGATCGTTGCACGATGAGTATAGTATTTAATAGAAAGTGAAATTTGACAACACCTCAACCTCAGAGTGCAAAAGTGTGTATGATGATAGTTAAACGTCCGAGGTTCAGGTAATACACAATCATTTTAGCATAATTTTTATTGGAATTTAGAAAAACATATGTATGAGTAATTACACATATTTACAATACGTATTTCGAATTGTCAATCGTCATTTCTTCTCGCAATTGTGGCAAGTATAATCTTTACAACCGTCGCGAACTGTTTTTTGGTACAAGAGCAAATGCGGTTTTAGTCCGAATTTCTTCTTGATTTGTTGCATGTAAAATCTTTATGACTTTGGTGCACTTTTTTTAAATGGCGTAGGAAATTTGTTTTTTGTCCAAATACCCTCTCACACTTATCACATGCAAAATCTTTACGACCTTCATGGACTGTTATTTGGTGTGAATGTAAATGATGTTTAAATCCGAATTTCTTCTCGCATCTGTCACAAGCGTAATCTTTACGACTTTCATGGATTACCCTTTGGTGCTTAAATAAATTTGATTTATGACCAAATTTTTTCTCGCATTTGTCGCATACGTAATCTTTACGACCTTCGTGGACTGTCCTTTGGTGAATAAGCAAATCTGATTTTCGTCCAAATTTCTTGTCGCACTTATCGCATGCGAAATTTTTTCGACCCCCGTGGACTGTCGTTTGGTGAACTAGCAGATCCTTTTTTTGACCAAATTTCTTCTCGCACTTGCCACATGCGAAATCTTTACGACCTTCGTGGACTGCCCTTTGGTGAGTAAACAATTTCGATTTTCGACCAAATTCCTTCTTACATCTGTCACAAGCGTAATCTTTACGACGATCGTGGACTGTCCTTTGGTGAGTAAGCAAATCTGAGTTTCGTCCGAATTTCTTCTCGCATTTGTCACATACGTAATCTTTACGACCTTCGTGGACTGTCCTTTGGTGAGTAAGCAAATATGATTTTCGTCCGAATTTTTTTTCGCATTTGTCGCATGCGTAATCTATGCGACCCTCGTGGACTATCCTTTGATGCAAAAGTAACGTAGATTGTCGTCCATATTTCTTCGCGCACTTGTCACATGCAAAATCTTTACGACCTTCGTGGACTAATCTTTTGTGATACAATAAATCTGTTTTTCTCCCAAATTTTTTCTCGCATTTGTCACATGCATAATCTTTGTGCCCCTCGTGGACTATTCTTTGATGCAAAAGTAACGTTGATTGTTGTCCATATTTCTTCGCGCACTTGTCACATGCAAAATCTTTACGACCATCGTGAACTGTCTTTTGATGTACAAGCAAAGTATTTTTGTGTCCAAATTTTTTTTCGCACTTGTCGCATGCGTAATCTTTGCGACCTTTGTGGACTGACCCTTGGTGAGTAAGCAAATTCGATATCTGTCCAAATTTTTTCTCGCATTTGTCGCATACGTAATCTTTCCGACCTTCGTGCACTGTCCTTTGGTGGAAGAGCAAACTCGATTTTTGTCCAAATTTCTTCTCGCAATTGTCACATGAGTAATCTCCAAGAACTGTAAAGGAGAAATTTTTCTGACCATCATGTAATGTCTTTATGTGCATGAGCAAACTCTGTTTATTTCCAAATCTCTTCGCACACTTTTCACATAAGTAATCTTTGAAAACTTCGTGGAATATTTTTTTGTGCTTGAGTAAAGTTGATTTACTTTCAAATTTCCTCTCGCACTTTTTGCATGTGAAATCTTTTTGATCTTTGTGTACCGATTTTTGATGCATGAGCAAACTCGATTTTTTCATAAATTTCTTCTCGCACTCGTCACATGCAAAATCATTGCGGCCTTTGTGCATTGATATTTGGTGCCTGCTCAAATGGCTTCGGAACTCAAATTTCTGTTCGCACTTGTCGCAAGCGAAATCGTTCAGTTCACTATGAATTGTGTTTTGGTGTGTTATCATACTCGATTCTAGCGTAAATGTATTCTGATAAATATCACAAACGTATTTTTTGTCTTCTGAAACAACAATGTCTTGTTCATTCAAATTATCTTTTGAAACAACTTTATCGGGTTTCTTTTCACTTTTATCCATTTTTGAGCTCAAAATAAACGATGGATCCTTCTATTAATACCACGAAAATGAAATGAGTTAAATTTATCTTTTGTTATTATTACTTGTTTCATCGGGAAAGGCAACATTCAAATTAGTTTGATTTTACTATAAACATGATCAGTAGGTTGAGAGACTACGTCAAAATCGTTACAATCGTTATTGTTACAATTGAGGTACCTAACGACCGTTAATTTTTTACAATGAAGGCCGGCCGTGATTTATCTGTTTATAAATTGTTCTTACAACGTTTGAACTTATTTAAAATGTTATCTTAGGGATGTATTCCTACGAGGAATTTTTGGACTTTTTAACGGTTTCAGCAGTTTCCAAAATCCATGCGTGCGATCTCTCAACTACGATCGCGAAAAAAAACATATTTGTCAAAATCACGATTGGATTTCGAGATAAACTCTCCACCGTGTAAATTTACGACTCGCTCAATTCCACGACAGTGTTACATCGCGATAATAGACATTTTCGGCAGCTCGCTCGAGTAATAGTATCTGATGATAAGCCGCAGTGAGAGACCGCACACGTCAATCGATGAAATATGCGTTCGTTTCATCGATCGACCGGCTTTCCTCGTATTATGCGTAAAGTTGATAAACTACGCTTTTGGAAATTTTCTACCTTTGCTCGCGCGAGAGCAACTCCACGATAAGCGAACTTTTCAATTATAATATTCATTGACGCAGCGCCTTTGCAATTTAATGGAGAGAGAAAGAGGAGAGAAGAGCTGCTGGCGCTGGAACATATCGGGTGTATTATAATGAGCGAAGCAAAGCAAAGCAAAAAAAAAAAACAGAAAAAAGAAACGACCTTGTAACCGAGTGTCGATTTCTTGGATTAAAGCGTATGTTCTGAATTGCCGAGGCATTTTTTTTCCACGTTGCTTCCACGTTTATATTATAGGCACGCGTAACCCCATACGCAAAAGGGGCGCGTTTATTAATAATTTCCCAAGCAAAAGCACTTTTATAACGTGCGTTAACAACTCGATAAGCTCTCGCGATGATGATATAACTGGGCGCTCTTTGAGATATCGCGCACCGCCAGCAAAGCAGTAGTAGCAGTAGTCGGCTGACGCTCTCGGCACTTATTGAATTTCCAAACCCTTGAGAGCTTTTTTTTCCTTCTTCTTCCAGCCCGTCTTTTTTTTTCTTCCTCTTCTTGTTCGTCCCCGTCACTCGGGGCAGCGCGAGTGCCTACGCGTACGCACGGAAGATGCGCGCTTATTTAACGCGGCGTCGCGTGTCGAGTCACTTTGCAACGTTAATTAATTTTCCCCTCGCTCGGAGCTGAAGCGTCGGCAACGTTGGAAAAGAAGCTGCAGCTCTCGAGTTCGAGCTGCTCTCGCATATATTACATTAAATGCCGACCGCTGCGTATATATATACGTATATGGGTCAAAATAATACTTTTTTACAAAACCGTGCGCACGTATATCACCGATCTTGACGCGCTTTTGGTATGTTATAGTACATGGTAAAAAGGTCTAAAAAAAAAAAGGCGACCTTCATTTTGTTACTAAATATAAGCAGTTACAATTGCAGCCCAT